TTGTCAGCAGCCTCACCATCCGTAAAGAAGTCGATGACTTCTTGTCGACCAGACTGAGTGTCCTACGACATGTTCGCGATGCGATGGCTGAAAGCCAAGACCTGCAAAACGAATATGTAGATGAAAAAGGAAGAGGCAACGTGGAAAGCTTTAAGGTCGAGGAACTGGTTTTATTAAATTCTAAAAACCTGCTTACACATGCAGCCTCTGCTATCTTCCGGACGAGCTTTGTCCACGGTTTATTGGACCGTTTAAAGTTGTAGCCAAGCGGGGCCTAGCGTATACGCTAAACCTTTCCAAACGTATGCGCACCCACCCGGTGTTTCACGTGTGTTTGCTCAAGCCGTATCGGAATTCGGCGCAAGTGAACGCGGAAGCGTTGGCACCGGAGCGAATCTCACGGGCCCTCGACCACCCAAACCAGCGACTGGTTTTGAGTACGGAGTGCAACAACCTCCATCTCCAATGGAGCTAAGCGCTCGACCGTTGCCTGCAGCGATGCATTCGCCTTCTCCGCGGCTTGAAGTCGCTCTGATAGAGTGCGGTAGTCCTCAAGGCGAGGCAGCCGGCGCACGATGCGCTCCGAATCATCAAGAGCGTCCGCATAGCGATATGCTACTTCAGCATGACGCTCAGCGGAGCTCCGATCACGAAGGATCTCATCCTCAAGGGCTCGAAGAGCACCGAAAGTCACCGGACGGCGGTCGACCCGGTCGTCACTTCCCGCCACCGACTCTTTCTCCATGAGAACGGTGACTTCCACTATCACGTGGAACGTCTAGTGAGACGACGTCGTCTCCAGGGTCAGACCCAATATCTGGTGAAGTGGCGGAGATATCCCGACTTCGAAAACTCGTGGGAGTTTTAGACGCCACTTCGGCAAGATTGCTCGGACGCTGTGGACGCTTTTGATCAGAAGGATCAGGACGCCCCGCGCTTCTCGGCAATAGCCAGGGAACTAGAAGGATCATGAGCTGAGCTCAAGCGGTGGCCCTGAGCCCTTGCGGTCACAGACACAGAGCTCGCAGAAGCGATAGGGGTTTACCCATACGTCGCAGGGTGTCAATCTGAAGGTAGTCAATGGCGTTCTTTGAGTTCGGCAAACTCAAATCGGAGGTGTCGCTTCACACGCACGTTCACTTCCTTGTGGCTCAACTGTAAGGTTGTGGCTCAACTGTAAGGCATACAGTGAGGAAAGTTTGCGGTGCCGTTGCATCCATCGCTCAGAGAGCGCTTCGTCATCTGTAGCGCTTTCGCCAGGGGCGAGCACTACA